TCAGTGAAGCTTCGTAAACTGTTGAATTTGTTTTACAGTTTTCTTTTAAAAGTTAACCCACCCATGGGTAGCCAATGGTAAGGGTTAATCAAGGGGGTTGTAAATGATCCAAACCACGGTCTCACATTCGATTCCACAAACCAATGGGACTACAAATGATCCAATCCACAATTTCAAGTTCGATTCCTTGCGGGATGTAAAGGTAGAACATTTCTCTATAATTTACCTAAAAGACCAAAATAGTGGGCTGCTGTGAGATAACTTTTCCCTAGATTAGTTAAGGTGGTCTAAGCTAAATTGGAGTTAATAAAAAAAAAAAAAAAAAAAATTCTTTTGAAAGTCTGTCAAAAACCTCGGCTGTCGAAAAACCTCGGATTACGAATATTCTAGAAAACTGGAATTTTTTGTACTTAAAAATGATATTGGAATATATGTCAATGGTGTTGTTGAAATGTCTTTTAATCTTTGATATAAAATATTCAATTCTTGTTATGGGCTGGGGCGGTATCTATGGAAGATGAGTGTCCTTAAATATCAACCCAGTGTATTCAATAGGCCCACAGAGTTAATCCAAATGAGCTGGCCCAATAGATCCAATTTGTTTCTCTTAGGTCAGGTCCAAACTAATTGGACTAAACATGAATTGTTCTCTTGCATAAAGCCGAGAGATTCAACATCCACACGACAAAAACAAAAAACAAAACGGATTTGGAGCATGAGGGTCAGGGTCAGGGTCAGGGTCAGGGTCAGGGTGAGTCAAATCTGAATCGCAGAAGCATGAAGTAATAGCTTTATTTCATTTTATATGGATAATATTGACCGTCTCTTAGATAGTTAAAAGCTAGCAACTTTGTTAGGTAGTTTCTTTCACCAACCCGCAAATTTTAAGACAAGGCGTGAGGGCAAAATTCTTTGATAATTTATATGTATCAATTTTACGCTATTTCCAGAGGTTAGCCAACAGCACACAGCCTTGGAAAAAATATTAAGACTTCATTTATAAAATTTAAGTGTCCAAATTGAAATGTCCACAGAAATGGCAGTCGTAAAGATATACAAATCCCACATAGTACTAGTCAAAGTTGGGTGACACAGCCCTGACTAAAATCGGGAGGTTTCTTTCTGCTGAATTCTCAATATCTTCCATTTATAGAAGAGATGGGAAGAAACAAACTTGGACTGGTACATATAATTTAGTATTTATTATAAATATTAAGAGTAAACGGCATTTTTCCACCCACGGTTTAACGAATCTACAAGTTTCTACCCTTGGTTTCATAAAATTGCAGATTCTCACCTTTAAATTAACACCGTTACTTTTCTTTTAAAATAATTTTAACATCTCAAATTTCTCTCAAATAATCCCCAGAGGAGATCCCGGCTAAGCCAAAAATCCAGCCTGATTCAGACACCTTTGGACTTCCCTAACACTACCATCAGCATCCCCTTATCGTCCTCACCAAAACTCCTAACTTTTTCACCTGATTGCATCTCGACAAGGTGCCAGAATTTAGTTGAAAAGGCACGACAAAACGCAAAAGCCTAAGAGAGAGGTAGCAGTGATTGATGGGAAATTGTGATCGGCTATGTTGGGAGTTTTGGTGGGGGGAAGCCAGTGATGCTATTGGTAGGGTTGGGGCTAATTTTCGGTGTTGGGACTTGTCAGAATTTAGATGAAATAACGATTGAAATTAAAAGCAGCTGCCAGCGATTGGGGGGGTTTTGATGTGGGGGTTAAGGAGATTGTAATGATGGTGTCGAAAGAGATTGACTATGTCGAAAATAAGTCGAAATAGCTTGAAATCGTCGATAGAGTGAATTTGAGAAGTGAATAATTATTTTAAAATTTTTATCTTTGAAATGATTATTTTATCTTTTTAACCGTTAGATTAAACAATTTTATGGTGAGAATTGCAATATATAAAACTAAGGGCAGGAACTTTTAGATTCGCCGAACCTTGCGCGGGAAAATGTGGTTTACTCTAAATATTAAATATTGTAACATGTGTCTTGTCTTCTGGGTCACCAATACCATCAATGATGGTTTACTTACATATGACTGATTTATGACAGGTAATTAAATTGATGATGGGAGTTGGTAGGTAGCTGTGTCTTTATTTCGGATACAATTTTAGAAATTATAGGATTTCCTTGCTGTGGTTTAATGGGCTCACTGGCGTAGTAGCAACCACTAACGTCACCATTAATGAAAGTGAGTCTGCCTTTGCCAATGCTGTGAAATTAATGCTCTCGTACTGCCTGGTTTTATTTGTGTTGTACATTAATCCTATTTATTTCGACAAATAAGTGCCAATCAATTTGCTTAAATTCACTTCCAAATTTTTCGTTTTGGCTGATGTGAGGTGTTTTAATCGGTTTGTACGCTATCTTAATTAATTTTTTAGAGTCTTAAAGTTGACTGGAGTAATATATAGTCTATTAACTTAATAATATAAAAGAAATACAACCTTGAACAAAATCATTGAACTTAAAGTTTCATTTCATCTTCAATGGGATATATATATAGGTGTTCTTAAATCTGAAACCTAAAGATGAATCTAATTAGATTCATTATCTATGAGCTTATCAGTTTTTTATTTTTTATTTTTTATTTTTTTATTTGGCAATTTGTTTGAGGGATTGTTTCGAGGTTATTCCAGAGTCAGAAGAAAATAAAGGCTTTTAATGGTGTAAGGTGAATTGACTTGGTTGGTCATAAGTATTCAGGATCAGCAGGCAACTATTAGAGGTATTCACAGAAGAAATTAATTACTAAGAAGTGGGCCGGAGGGAAGAAATTAAAATTGCTCTGATAATTAGTTTGACAATTTATAGCACCACCACACCGCTGTCGTTNTATGGATAATATTGACCGTCTCTTAGATAGTTAAAAGCTAGCAACTTTGTTAGGTAGTTTCTTTCACCAACCCGCAAATTTTAAGACAAGGCGTGAGGGCAAAATTCTTTGATAATTTATATGTATCAATTTTACGCTATTTCCAGAGGTTAGCCAACAGCACACAGCCTTGGAAAAAATATTAAGACTTCATTTATAAAATTTAAGTGTCCAAATTGAAATGTCCACAGAAATGGCAGTCGTAAAGATATACAAATCCCACATAGTAATAGTCAAAGTTGGGTGACACAGCCCTGACTAAAATCAGGAGGTTTCTTTCTGCTGAATTCTAAATATCTTCCATTTATAGAAGAGATGGGAAGAAACAAACTTGGACTGGTACATATAATTTAGTATTTATTATAAATATTAAGAGTAAACGACATTTTTCCACCCACGGTTTAGCGAATGTCCTTTCCCCCTCCTTAGTTTCATAAATTGCAATTCCCACCCTTAAATTCACACCGTTACCTTTCTTTCAAAATAACTCCTACATCTCAAATTTCTCTCAAATAACCCCCTGAGGAGATCCCAGCTAAGCCAAAAATCCAGTTTGATTCTGACACCATTGGACCTCCCCAACACCACCATCAGCATTCTCTTATCCTCCTCACCAAAATCTCTAACTTTTCCACCTGATCGCACCTCAGCGAGATGTCAGAATTTAGTTGAAAAGGCGTGACAAAACGCAAAAGCCTAAGGGAGAGACAACAGCAATCGGAGGGAAATTGCAATCGACGATGTTTGGAGTTTTTGTGGGGGGAAGCCAGTGATGCTATTGGTAGGGTTGGGGGTAATTTCCAGTGTCAAGACCTGTCAAAATTTGGATGAAATACCGACTAAAACTAAAAGTGGTGGCCAATGATAGGGGTGAGGGGGTGGGTTTGATGTGGGGGTTTAAAAGATTATAATGGTGGTGTCGGAAGGGGTCGACTATATTATAAACAGGTCAAAATAGCTTGAAATTATCTTAAGAAGGGAAGGGTTATTTTAAAATTTTTATCTTTAAAATGGCTAGTTTATTTTTGTAACAGTTAGATTAAATAATTTTATATTAATTTAAAGGTGGGGAGAAACTATGGGTAGCCACTTTTAGATTGGCCTAACCTTGCGCGGGAAAATGTCGTTTACTCTAAATATTAAATATTGTGTAATATGTGTCTTGTCTTCTGGGTCACCATCAATTATGGTCTACTTACGTATGACTGATTTATGACAGGTAATTAAATTGATGATGGGGGGTAGGTAGCTGTGTCTTTATTTCGGATACAATTTTATAAATTATTAGGATTTCTTCGCTTTGGTTTAATGGCTTAGTGGCTTAGTAACAACTAACAATCACGAATGTCACAATTAGGGAAAGCGAGTCTGCCTTTGCCGATGCTCTGAAATCAATGCCCTCGTACAGCCTGGTTTCATTTGTGTTGTACATGAATCCTATTTATTTCGACAAATAGGTGGCTTTGGGTTTGGCTAAAATTCACTTTCAAATTTTTCTTTTTGAAAGTGAAACCTAAAGATGAAATCTAATTAGATTCATTATCTATCAGGTTTTTTTTTTTGTTTTTTTGTTTTTTTTTGGATTTGGCAATTTGTTTGAGGGATTGTTTCGAGGTTATTCCACAGTCAGAAGAAAATAAAGGCTTTTAATGGTGTAAGGTGAATTGACTTGGTTGGTCATAAGTGCTCAGGATCAGCAGGCAACTATTAGTGGTGTTCAGAGAAGAAATTAATTACTAAGAAGTGGGCCGGAGGGAAGAAATTAAAATTGCTCTGATAATTAGTTTGACAATTTATAGCACCACCACACCGCTGTCTTTTAGTGCAATTCATGAGCAACGCATAGATTTTAATACCATCCAAAAGCAACGAAGCGGATGGTGATAATCAGTTTGACAATTTATAGCACCACCACACCGCTGTCGTTTAGTGCAATTCATGATCAACGCATAGATTTTAATGCCATCCAAAAGCAACGAAGCGGATGGTAAAATTTGGGATTGCTATGAGATTTTGTGTTATAATACATCTCAATTATAAAATGATAATAATAATAATAATACATAAAATTAACAGAAAACCTAGGTGCACGTAAGATGGACCAACAATTAATTATAAGAAAAAGATTGTTTGATTTATCAAATTCACAATTTCATAACTAGGCATTCCACACCTGAATTGTAGTGGACAAGAACCTCACAAAGACAAAGCCTAAGTGGGACTTCACATTTGAAATAAAATTAAATAGCTAGAAAACCTGCTAATTTCAGGCTAGCTTTTTATCCATATCCATCCTATTCCATATATATATATATATATATATATAAAATAATTTATTGGTGATTTTGTGTATAATCACAAGAAGCAGAATGATGGCCGCTTGATGATCCCTTCCAAATCTCCTCCAGTTCCCTGGCAAAAGTCTTTTGTCTTCCAACAACAATCGTAATGTGATCTTTGTTTTCAACAACCTTAACCTTAGCACGAGGGATTCTTGACTGAACATTGTGGCTACATTCCACCGGAATAAGTTCATCGTCTCTGCCGTGGAAGATGTGGACGTCACATTTCAGGTGGTCGCGAACGGCATCCAAGTATCCATCAAGCTTGCTGGCGGTGCCACAAATAATGTTGTGCAAGGTGTGCCATGCAGCGTTGTGTGTGTGGCAAAAGAAGCCTTCAAGCAAGAAAGTCCTTATTCTGTAAAAACGCATTAAATCTCAACAACAAATGGTAGATATAAGTCTCGATCAAATATGCATAGTACGACTGAACCAAATTGATGATAACACAGGCAATGTGGTGAATGAATAAATAAATAAGCGAATTATTTTCAGCATTTAACATATGTCTCAATCTGGGTGGAACTGGACTACTCTCTGAACCATAGTTGACCCAAAAGCTCAAGCTACAGGAACAACACGGACCAGTTTTAATTAAATAAACAATTAAATTATAGTTTTATCTCTAATTAAGTAGGTTGCAGAAAATTCTAAAGGGACGCCCATCGTCAAACCAATACTAGCAGAATTTCACCCGTTCAAATAGTGTAGGTGGCCTACCGAACGGGTCTAATTCATTTTCAGATGAATTACTAAATCTCAAGGTGCTTAATTTGATAGTTAATTAGAATTACATACATATAATTAACTGGTTATTCCTTCCAATTGATATTTAATGATAAAGATGGGTCCCTGCAGTGCCAAGTAAATATCCTATAATATGGATAAATACAATCACTTATTTTTGGTCAATTGTACGTGTCAAGAAGAATTTATAAAGGAATAGGGTGAGAAAAATTAATTACATGACAATCTGATTCTAGTTCTAGATTTCCGGATCGAAATATTGATCATATTATATACAATATATATATGTATTAAACCATTGGTTATGTTATTTTTTATTTTTTAGGAAAATAAATTAAGTTTGTATGAATTGACACGTTTTGAGGTGGGCAGGCAGACAGTAGCTAGATGAGGTTGATAAGTTTACCTGTTTCTGGTGACAAGTTTGGTGAGAAATTCCCACAAACGGTGGTTCTTGCAAATGAGCAAGCAGATTGTCCGAGAAATGTGCTCATACCAGCAAGCCATCGATGCCCCAAAAGCTATTAATGGCCAAACTTGTCTTGGAGCTACCCTTCTCATCATGTACTGCGTGGCTTGTTCGCCCTTTGGTACTGGAAAATATGGCTGCCATATATCAAATTAACTTTGTAAATAAAAAAGCAACTAATGGTTATATTAGAGTTCTCTGATTTAGTGAAAGAAAAAATGGAACTTACTGGTGCAAGGAGGGTGAGGGACTTGATGGATTTAGGGTATTTTACAGCCAGAGCAAGAGCTAAAATACAGCCTAAAGAATGAGCTACAATGTGGAAGGATTTAACTTTATTGGGTTCAATCACAGACTTTTCAATCATGTCCAAATGCTCTCTCAGAGTGTAGAGGGAGTCTGTTGGTTTAGGACTCCTTCCAAATCCTAGAAGATCAATGGCAAATAACCGATATTTTGATTTTGCAGCAGTTGAGAAGTTGGGGAATAATGTTTCCGTCCAAAATGCTGAAGATGAAATGAACCCATGAATAAACAACACATCTTCTCGTGCCTTGTGATCTGAGTGTCACATAGAACATAAGAATAATATAAATCACGAGTCTTAATGAATAATTAATACCCATAATTTATTAGCATAATGATATTACCTTTTCGTCCTTCGGCTTTAACAAAGAGGGTATCTCTGCTACACGAGGTCCAAGAATTACAGAATTTACAATCACAATCGGACCATCTCGGAATAGGATGAAATTGCTGCCCTCCGATCTTTCCTTGTAGCATTTCAATCTTGATCTTCTCACAAGATTGAATGATAGTGCCGTCAACCTTGAGCCTCTTTAGCTCATTAACAGTTAATTTTGAGACCTCAGACACCAAGGAAGGTCGTGTGTAGAGAGTATCTGAAATCTCCTCTAGATGTAACTTGGTAGAAGTAAGGCGAACAATTTTTGATTCACCTTGTTCAGATACTAAGATTTTGCCACTGCTAGTGATGGCTTCTTTTGCTGAGGAGCAATAACAAGGCTTGCATTCAGCTTCGATGAAGAAATCCGCCACTTTGTAAACAAAACATAGAACGAAATCAAGAAGGTCTAAAAAAGAGAAGACAATGAAGCTTACAGCCTTGTTTACAACTCTGCCTGTTAACGACAAAAATGATTTCGTTTTGTACACAACAGCCATTTCAAAATAACCAAAACTAAAGAAACTAACCCGCAATGTGTATTCTGCACCCCAGAGAGACAGAGGGAAAAGGGAGAGTTATGATATTAGGCACACAATAGGCATACATTGATGATTAAGAAGATTTTCAAAGATGGTGCTGTTTGAATGCCTTGGTTTAATAAGCCTCCCTCTTCTCTTCTCTCTTATATGCAGATAAATCCAAAAAGAGAAGCACAACTGAAGGAAATGAAATGAAACTTTGTCTCCTTTTTTTTTCGCAAATGGGTCGACAACCCGTCATAACAAGTTTTCTAAAGCCCAAGACCCCACCCAAGATCTTTCTATATATATATATATATAATCTTAACGGTGGAAAGTCTCTCTCAAACTTAATGGGCAGAGGAGCTTGACGCTCACTAATAGAGAAAATATATGAATTCATTGTCTCTTTAACATCATTTGTTGGCAAAGGAAAAGTTGGGTGGTGGTTGAACCCCCCGGCCGTGGAGGAAAATTTCTACTAATAAGAACTATTTAGCCTACATAAATCAATTTTTTTTTCCTTCTTTCTCTTATATAATATATTAAACATACGAAGATTTTCTTCTTTTCTTCACGACCAAGGCCAAAAAAAAAAAAATAATTTTCTTGTTTGTCTAAAACTTAGCTCATTTTATTTTCTCATCCACTAGGTTACAACTCATCTATTGTTACTGGAAGTAGCCTAACTCATTAATGTAAGTAATGTTTTTTTCAAAATGAACATTTATTGCATACTGTCCATACACATGACTCCCATATTCATTAGACTTTAGATTCTAATTCTTTCACCACCGTCAGATCCAAGGGTGTAACATTTTCAGAAGTACTTTCTCCTCCATGGCTAACTAGAATTATTGTGCACAGAAGGCAAAAACTAGCAGAAACAATGCGCCGGTAGATTGATCAATGTTAATTATATTAATTACGCCTAGATTTTGATCAGTTACATCAACTTAAATAGTTAAACATCGTGCATGTATTAATTCCTAACCTGCTACATCGGCCATTTTGGATTAATAACTGCCATGGGACACGTAAAAATATGAACTGTTTTAGGCTTTGAGGTCACTACCCATGTGAAACTTAGAAAAAAATGATACCCCATTTCATGAAATGATGGTTTTAATTTAGAGTTTAGACCATGCATGATCTTTGTTCCATAAACATCGTACAGCTAAACATGCGATTGGACTTGTGTTGGAACGTGAACAAGCTAATGTGACAAGTTATTTGAGTTTACACAAATTAATTAAAAAAAATACCTAAGTTTCATATGCAAGTAATAAGAGTGATTTCAATTCATTTGTATTTTTTTTTTTTTTTTAATGAATTGAAGCTTTGGATAAGCAACCTAGAGTAACTTTATACAATAAAAAATAAAGTTCAAAGAAAAGTAAATCAAAAACCCTATAAAGGGAGTAAAGCTGTATGAGGGGATATATACTCCATGAATGTTTGATGAACAAAAACTGTCAATTTTCTTGCGCACCTCATGGCCATCCCTATTAAAGAGTGGAAAATAAATCAAATCTTGATAATATATCTTAAGAGTCTATTCACACTCGATCACCTACCTTAAGTTAATTGTCAATTTTATTTTTAGGTTGCTAATAACACATTCATTGCGTTGTCCCCAGTATTATGTCTTATCACCACTTCAATATTATGTATGACAATCGTTTTATTTTTCTCTTCCTTAACGTCCACACTAAAGCTGAAAGATATATACATCAATTGAAACTATACATTCCATTTTTCATGCTCAATCAGTAACCTCCGTTATAATATGCTTTGCTGTCAGCCAAATTTCTCGGATGATATGATCGCATGAATTCCTTTGTGTGAGTGTAATTTTAACTACCACCCTAACTGGAATACACAAATTTAAAAAGAGTAGTATTGATTACAAAAATTAGATTACATATTGTAACCTTGCCAGAAAGCGAAATTTTGTTGTTGTTATACGTAAATCAATTACACACCTAATATTTTACCAACCCATAGAGAATCATGTTGCTCGGTTATGAACCTTTTGAAAAGTTCCAATGCTTTTTATTTCATGACGAAATGATGACTTGTAAGATGGACCTATTCAAAAGAACTGTTCAAATATACGGTCCTGCTTCTTTATATCTCAGTCGTCAATAAATACTACTTGCTACTTTAATTCAACGACAATAATTTGCTTTCATGAAATGGGACCTCGAAGATTTTGAAGTTTTTTTTCAGTAGTTCTTTTGATTTCATCCTTTCAGTGTCACCAGTGTTTTCTTTACTTCATTTGTGTTTGGCACTCGTTGGTTGATGCGGGAACAATGACTTCTCTTCACTCTCTCAAAGGCTGATTCACCTCCTTATGGCATCGATTTCAAGCCGTCTGGAGGTCACCCACTGGAAGATTCACCAATGGACGAACAATCAGACATATAGGTAAGCCTCCATACAAATAACATTGTCAACATGTTTTAATATGGCTGATACTTCATATAACTACTTTATGGGCTAAATTAATGACCTTACATATTTATGTGAGAATTAATTGTAACTACGTGAGAGATCACATGTAATGATCTAATGTTTTCAATTTCTTCATCACGCCTTAAATGCTGTAGAAATTTTAGGCAAAGTAAGGGAGTAGATTAGGGGTTATCCGGTTATATTGATAACAGTGAGAAATTTCTAAGAAATTCTGAAACCATTAATGCTTTAGTCAGCTATCTGGTAAGGAAAGAAGATCAAGCACATAAAATGAATCAAATGCTACACTGACTTTACATAATGCAGCAAATTATACATTTGAAAATGACATCTAAAATACCAGATAATCGATCTCAGTTTTTAATTAATTTTTCCTTCTCTATTTTTTCAACCTGTGGATAGCATTTTCATGATCAGTAACCGTCCCACTGGGAATAGTAATTGTGCAGCACCGACTTAATATTGTCAGCTACTTTTACACACAAAGAATTTTTCTCACATCGTTTAGTCTTATTTTCACGCAATATTGATTTCTTATCTTCAAATTCCTCTATCAGTAATATAACATTTAATTTCCCGTGAATTTGAAAAGTATTTTGTAATATATCGGTCAATCTCTTGGAGCCAATCGTTTCCACCACCTTATCTAGCCCCAAACACTCGGGCTGCTGATGCCATTCTCAGGGGAATAATTATGCTTCTGGAGCTTCAGGAATTTTGGATAAAACTGGATTTTTATTCGTAAGAACATCAATTTTACGAAATAGTTTATGTGTAACATGATTTAATTTACCAGAGCATATAGATAGTAATTTTTATTCTCTATATAAACAACAATTACAGATAGGAAGAGTTCCATTACGAGAACAAGTAAATTATTTCGAGCAAAGCAGAAATTATATGGTAATGTTATGGCGAAAATCGTACCAAGGATTCCTTAAGAAGGCGATATTTTCTCTTACAATTGGGTCCAACGATATACTCAACTACATCCAACCATCAATAACATTTTTTTTTCGGTGAAAAGACTTCTAAAACGACGTTACGGATTTCATGGTTTCAAACTTGACAATTCATCTTCTACGCTATCAATTAACTGAACAACCTGCTAGATTCAGCTATTAATATGATCACTTTCAACTAATATATATGGTGTTTAATTTGTACAGAGACTCCACGAATTAGGTGCTAGAAAATTTGTTGTTGTGGGGTTGGACCTCTGGGTGTGCATTCCATTTGTTCGTGCACTCAAGCTACTTCCAATTGACAATGCTGGACAAAGTGAATGAATTAGTCCAAGATACAATAATAAACTAAAAGAGGAGCTCACTCGTTAATCAAGAGATGGGACCTGAACTATCTTTGTATATGCAAACTCTTAGTATGTTTTCAGCAGTATCATAATTAATTATGAACAATATGGTGAGATTGGAACCCTGAATCTTTATATTTGATTGAATAACATACAGTAGTTTTAATAGCTAATATATTCTTTGGTGTTGCCAGGATTTGAGAATGCTGATCAACCATGTTGCGGTGGATACTTTCCTCCATTTGTTTGCTTTAAACGGAATGATCAAAACGACACTTCTGTTTTGTGTGATGACCGATCAAAGTAGGTGTTTTGGGATGCATATCATCCCACAGAAGCTGCAAATATCATTTGCAGGAAAGTTACTCGATGGTGATGAAGCATTAGCTTTCCGATCAACATTCGTGAGCTTTACAATTAATATTTATAGTGAAAGCTGAAGAAAAAAAATTATGTTAACAATATGAAAAGCATAATTTCAAATATATTATATTAGTGAAATAAAGAATTCTTATATTTATAACTCCCCATACTTTGAGCAAGCTAGAACTTAGAAAAACTGCAAAGTCAACTCTTTTTCACACTGTTTTCTGACATAGTTTTAACTACGGAGAGAAGTCAACCCTCTAACTTGAAATAGTTCATACTTTTTAAAGAAACCCATCAATGAAGAAATCAAGATCTCTAAACTGCAATATTGGCTCAGATTGACCATTTCTCTCTGCTACAAATTATTTTTTCTGTTTGTTAACTACCACCAACACAAGTATACAAGTATAATAATGAAAACTAGAAATCCTGGTGTTTTGATACATATGTACCTATCTTTTGGTTGTAGTTTCCGTTGCCTTCCCGATGATTGAGGTGCATGCAAAAATTTAACAGTAATTGGTGGGCTTCTGAAATATAATGTGGAAGGAAGGAAACGAGGTGTCTGGATGGCTTGCCATAAAAGGATATAGTAATTTAATGTATTCAACAAGAAACGAGGTAATTAGTAAAGAGTCCTTTCTCGTGTAGGATCATTTCACGTTCTGCACTTCTGCGCATTCCTGGCTTGCACTACCTGTGAGTGCCACTTCTGTAACGTGCCTTTTACCGTTGGTAGTTGCAGTTATGTAATTTTTTTCGGTATGGTAACCAAAAAGTTTATATTTATACACGATTTTATAGTAAACTTCAGTTAATAAGACGAAGAACAAGGACTGTTATAGAATCAATTTTGTATAGTTCGGATGTACTAGGGTTGTGGACCAAATTGGGTGGCCTTTGGTTTTTGGTGTTGGGTTTCGCAAAA